GCTGTCTGAAGCTACCTTGTTTTATTATAACTTGCCTGAACACTTTGCTGTGACAGAATGGCTTCATACCTTTAATAAGACTTTGTGGTGTGATACTAAAAGGAGAAGTTGACTTCTCTGAATAATAACACAAGGAATGGAATTACAGAGCAGGTTGTGAGGTTGAAGAGAGTAAGTTGAAAAGTAATTGTTCAAAAGGGCTGCCTTTTGCTGAATGTGGTTGTACGGGCAAGTGGATCCCAGGGTTTTGCTTTAAATACCTGAGCTGAGAAGCACAGAGTGTCTGCTGACAGTGAAATAGGTCAGTCTGAACACTGCCAGGGATGGGGCAGCCACAGCTTCTCTGGACAACCAGTGCCAGTGCCTCACCACCCTCACAAGGAAGAACCTCCTAAGATCTTGCCTCTTTCTGTTTAACAGATAGAAAACAGCCCCCATGAATTTGCACTTTATATTATCCACGCGTCCGGAGGTAAGATGGGCACTGCTGTGTGATCCCTTCATCTCTAGTGACCCTTCCTCTGTGTGTGTGTGTGTGTGTGTGTGCGGATGGCTGGACTTGGAGCAACAGGGTTCATCCCGGGCATCTGTCATTGTTCGGACAGTGTGGAAGCTGTGTGGCATCACAGCTCTTCTGGAGACCCTTAGGGATGTGTGGCCTTCTGGTGGAGGGGAGAACCTGAGTAACTGTGGGCTGGTGTAGTTGGTTATGGAAGGCTAAACAGGCCTTTGGTATTCCCATATTCCAAGGCCGTGTTAAAAAGCTTTGCTGCCCTAACCATTGTTCTGCACAGTGACCACCATGGCATGTGGGATACTTTAGTGGATAGTTTTGGATGCCTAGTTAAAACAACCTTTTTGGGGGGGAAAATGTTTACTTCTGCAACGTACTCTTGCTTTAGGAAATCTGATCCTTGTTAAAAGGAATACCTGAAAGAATGGGAGAGAGAACTGATGGGTATGTATCTTAAATGTCAGAATATGAAGCTGAAGTTATGTTTGAAATCTATGAAGTAAGTTTTGTTTTAGGGAGTCGGGGTCAAGCTGATGGGCCTGGATCATGCTTATGTGGCTACCTAAATCACAGGTCCTTTCTATTGTATCTACCTATTTCTTTGATCATGCATAGCATAAGTGAGGTGCCACATCCTCCTGCTAACATGTGTTGGAGCCTTGTTTGTTATCTAATAATTGCACATCAGTTGAATTCAGGGCCTTTGTCAAGAAAAAAGGCTACTGGTTGTGTGAGGTACCCCGAGGCACTGTTGTGTGTTCTGTGCATCACCATGTTTCTCTTGAATCCCAGAGAAGAAGCAACTGAGGAGTGGGGATGTCCCCTTACTGCACAGGCTGCTGCACGGTCCCTCTGAGAAGATTGCCAAGTTCTTCCTCATGGACAGAGATGTAGAAGAGATCAGCAGTGATGTACGTATCCCACCACTTCTAGTAGCTCCCAGCATTTTTCCCAGTTAGTGTAGTTGCTAACGTGCATTTCTTGCCTTCTTGCTAGGTTGCTCAATATATTCAGTTTCATCTTCCCTTTTTGGAATCGATTCTACATAGAATAAATGAAGAAGAACAACAGGAGATTCAACAGACAATTTCAAGGCAAATAGAAGGAAAAGGAGTGGGGTCGCTTTGAAGCTGGGAGAATATTCACAATTAGGGGTTGGCTCGAAAAGGGAATGGGTTTCCGTAGCAGAGTCACAGTGCTGCAATTACTTAAGTGAGGCTTGATGGGATTTATCCTCTTTTACGTATTCTTCATAACCAGATGAGGTGCTGCTGTTAAAGACTGAAGAATACTGACCACAGATGTAAGGGGGGATTGTTCCAGGAGATTCTGACTTTCAGTGTCACTTTCATTTTTACTTGGTTTGTTTTCTGAGCCTCAAACTGGTTCCTCAGTTTCTACTTGCTGCTGTGTATTTCCTTGTACTTGGGTAGCACGGCATTTAAGGGAGCTTAGTGCTAATTTCTTAATGTCTCTTTAAAACCTGACTTGTGATAAATGTTGCAAGTTCTTGTGGTGGTAGCTCAAAATGCACAACCAGTACACATTAGAAACACAGTGGTGTTTCTGAACAGGTGTATGGGTCTTGAGCACAAAAGCAGTGGGAACCTGCATCAGATGTGGATCTGTTAGGAACTGACTGTGTGATAATCTCTTTGAATCAAAATGGCCAGGAAATAAATAGAAAAAAAATAGAGAATGGCAATTGCTATGGGAAAAGCTTTCGTGACAATGTTTTTCAGCCATTCAACTTGCCTTGTTAGAGTTTGGATTGAAGTTTTGCAAGGTTCTGTGTTGCTGAAATGCCTTTTCTCTCTCTTTCTCTCTCCATCTCAGGTACCTGAGAGAGAAGAGATTGATATGTCAGCACCTTCACAGTCGAACTGCTCAAAGAACAGAGACCACAGTTTGAGTTGAAGGGCCTGTTGTGAACGCCCCACACTCCTCTGCCTAAGGGAGATCAGCACACTGAAGTGAGCAGGATGGGACCTCAGAGCCCTGACAGCACAGGGGGGTTCTGTGTGCTGAAGCTTCTCTTCATAATTATGCACCTGAAACTGAACCTGTTCCCCTACAACTCTGGTTATGAGTTGGGAGCCACCCCAGAAGATGCAGTAGATCCCCCAAAAGACTTAATATAGCTTAAGATAGGGGGTAAATTGCTATGAAAGGCACAAGGCTTTAAAACCTACTAATTTATAGACCATTATGAGAAATCTGGCATGTGAGAAAAATACTGCAATAGCCAGTGTGATAATTGTACAGAAAATATGAGAATTATATATATGGGTTTCCTTCTATTAGAGAAATGTTGAATTACATTAGAAGAAAGCCTTTCAGTAGAGGTAAGTGGCAAATGATATTTATGTATCTAAGGCTGCAGTTAAGATTTTCACTTAAATTAAAAAAAACAACAAAATACCTGTGCAAGAGACTGAAATCCCCCTGGCTTCAGAACAGCAGATGTTCAACTTGGTTAAGCTTTGAGCTGTGGTTAGAAGAATACAAATGGGAACCTTCCCACCTAATAGCTTCTCAGTTCCTCAATAAAAGGATGAACTTATGTCTGCAATATCCCTTGAACTGCCAAGTAAGAGCTCAAACTAAACACTTGAATTTGCTTATGGGGTTCTGGGAGGCACCTCAGATTTTTTTGTTGCTGAAACAAAAGATTCCAAGTTAATGCCTTAGATTTTTTTTTAATCTAAAGATGTAAATAAGTGTTCTGTGAGGGGTAGACTTCACAGCCTCAGTGCAGTGTCTGTGCAGCCTACCCTTGTGCAGAGTGCTGGGTCTTCTCCAAATGGGTCCTGCTTAATACTAAACCTTAAACTGTAGCAATGTAAATAAAATCTGACTTGTGCCCGAGGAATTGCCCTGCCGTGTTAGTTTGTCTCTTTTACATGGTATCTGTGCTTTGCATTAGCTACCTCATGCAGGTAGTGAGATAAAAACACTGTTAGAAGAAAAGAATCACCATGTGGGAAATGGTGCCTCTAAATCTTACAGAATAAATGAAATATGGAAAACGACATTGTCTGAGATGATGGTGATTTAAAAATGACAATAACTGAAAGTCATAATTGAAGATATTGTGGTTTGGGCCAAGGGTTTTTTTGAATATGCAGTCTATTATAGTCTTGCCCAGAAAATAATTATGGGCAAGTGAGCACAGAGGGGAGAAATAAAGGTAATTCATCAGTTAAGATGCATATTTTTAAGTAATAGTTGCCTTACAGGTGCAAATCTAAGTTCCTTGAAGCACCGGAAGTGTGTATGCAGGCGTGATGGACGTGTCCCCACGGCCCACTCAGGTACCTGTTACCCAAGCTGTTGGAGGCGTGAAACTTACCCTAAACCATCACAGGTCCTGGAATGTCAGCTCTCTGTGCAGCCTGAAGAAGACCATGGCCAAGTTCTCAGCCAAACCCAAGCAGAAATGGCTGCTTCAACCATGTCATGGGTGGATGTTTTTGTTCCTCTTCTTTTGTCACCTCCAGGCCAGGTGAGATTTGAGTACCAGGTGCAATAGTGATGCACCATGGAAATGGTGCTAGAGCAGACATAGAGCTTTGTGTGGATCTCTGTGCTTGGTTCCACCTAAATTTCTGTAAAGACAAGTTGGAACCTGTTTGCAAAGCAATGTTCAGGTAGATCAGATTCAGGAGCAGGGACACAGCTTGTCTAACCTCGCTGAGAAAGGACAAGTGCAACAGAGATCTTGGCCTGTGCTGTAGCACCTTTCTCATTTGAACCAGGAAAGGGTGTTGGAGTATTTTCATGCAGAACAGGGTGTTTTTTATTATATATTTATTTTCCTAAATGCTTGAGTAATTGTGTGAAGGTGAAGTTATGAGAACATTGGAACATGAAATATTAATAATTCCTTGGTCTGCAAGGAATTTAAAAGATAAATCAATGCTCAGACCATATGGTAAAGAGAGAAAATGTTTTCAAGCAGGCTTTTCAGTGCTCTGTGCATGAGCACAATTCCTAAACTGAGCCATTTGTGCCACCTTCTGGTGCTGAAATACTTTCATTTCACTTGTCCTGATGGACAGGGACAGAAGTATGCTGGGAAATTACTATGGGACAATGCATTGACTAACTGGAGCCTGCTGGGTTTGAAGGACTACTGCAATAAAGCTTTAGCCTTGCTCTGCTGGATACAAGGAATAATTTCTGACAAATACAGGTGAGAACAGGTGGAAAATTTATTCCAAAGATTTACTAGATATTGCAGGTAACACAGCAGTGAAAAGCAGAGGGGACAGGGGCAAGGGGCCTTGCTTTTGGATGGGGAGCCCAAGCCATTAACCATACAGACAGCAGTGAGTCTGTCTCTTACCTGTATTTGTATGACTGAGCTTCCCCTTGAGGAACATCTCAAGTCATCACTGATTTGAAATAAAAAAAGAAGAGTCAAAGCCCTCAAACTACCCCAGATTACAGAGGACTGATCTCAATCTGCATCTCTAAGTTGCAGTGCTTGGAGAAGCCCAAGGGCCCATCTGATCATTGATTGGATACCAAAACCACCACTGATACCTGAGTAAAACCTTGTTCTGTTTTAGCTGTTGCTCTGCTTATGTCCCCAGTATATGAGCAATAAGTTAGACCTGAATCAGCAGCCAACTGTTGATGGTTCTTGGCCTGTGGTTCATTATAACTACATGGTGACCTGCACAGCTCCCCAGTGAGTAGTTCTCCTGTAGTGAAATGGTACAGCTGCTTAATTGTTCCTGTGTCATGTGTGAAATGTGTCCTGGTAGAATAGAGCTGGTTTCCTCTAGGTTGTCTCTAATTTGCCAAGGTGATTTTGACATTTAAGAATTGTAAAGAGATTTGCAAGTTTGGCTCCGCCTTGCTGTCAGCTGCAAACCTAACAAATGGGGTTTGGTCTGATGATTTATATCGTTAATGACAATTTGCATCCATTTAACTTATTCTTTCAGCAGACTTCCTCAAGGTGATGAGCCTTCTCTTTGCACTTAAGGCTTCCATGCTTAAGGATCCTGAACAACTAAGAAATTTAGCTGGCTTTAAGTTACTTGCTTTGGTTTAAAGTTTACGTCTCCTTGATAATTCTGAATCACTGTGACAGGAACCAGAGCTGAGGTTTGTACGTGGATTCCTCCCCATCTGACTGAAATGCAGTTTCCCAGCCCAGCAGGTCCTATGGGAAATGTGGTTTATTGAGATCCCTCTTGTCCCTTGTTTGCAGCAGCAGATGAGCTGTAGCTGGTGTAAAACCATCCAGACTTCCTTAGATTTGTGAGTAAAGAGCCACAAGGTAGTTTTGTGCACTCTGACAAATCATATGTTCCTGTTTATGCTTCATGAACGTCAGAAAAGATATGCTTGCTGTTAGGTTGGCAACTGGTGTCCAATGTGCTGCAGGAGCTCTTCAGGCTGACAACATTTTTTCACTTCTCTTTATAAGTTCTGGACCCTGGAAAAGAGCAAAATATCTATGAGCTAGTCAGAAAGGTGATGTGCTTGTGAGCAAGCAAGCTGCCACTACCCACTGTGGCAGCGGTGGGTAGCATTTTGTTAGCAAGCTGTGTACATAGAGTGTTCTGCAAAGCAAAGATATGTTTACCACTATGTTTAAAAAACATAGTTTTTCCTGTTCAGCTCAGGCTGCCTTTGGAGATGTGATGTTTGGGAGAAGGTGGCAGAATTGCTGCTTTGCAGATGTGTGGCTTGGTGTGTTCAGAGGTGGAAATCATAGGAGAGACTTTTTTTTGTCATTTAAAGCAAGGCAAAGGCTGAGGAAAACAGAGCCAGGCTTAAGGGTTGTGGAGGGTTTAAGCTTAGTGAAGGAATACATCACAGAGAGAGATGTGAAGTAGACAAAGGCAGATTTTCTGGAGGGTTTTTTTCAGGAGAAGCTGAAGTAGCTCTGCAGTGTGAGGGTCAACAAGCTACAAGAACATAGGCAAGAGAAGAGGAAAACAGTGGTAGGGAAAACAAACAGGGAAAATACTTTGACCCTAAAAGGTGACTACATGCTTTCTCTCCCTACTGCTGAGGAACTTTTCAAGTGAAATCCAGTTCATAACTAAGAATTAAAAAATGAAGAGTTCATTTCAGAACTGTTAGCCAGGGAAAGACCTTTGTCTATGTCTTTCACAGGCCCAGTCCCAGCAGCTCCCCAGAAGAAGCAGATGGAGCTGAGCTCTGTATCCATCAATTGCATGTAAACACAAGACTAATTAGGTAAGTCATTTAGTGATGAATCAACTGGTGCTGATATCTACATGTGCAGGCAATCAGATTTGCCTTTGGAAAAATAACTGCAGGAATTCTGGCTATCCAGACTTGGTTTGGCTGTTTAAAGGAGAAATTCCTCCTCCTGCATATACTCCCTGTTTCCATTGTGAGTCAGATGAAGCAGAAAGGACACCTCTTTGGCAAAGCAGGCCTGGGGGTTGCCTCCTCTGCAGCACTGCTCTCTCATGGTGGTGAAGGCAGCCGTGATGGCTGTCAGCTGCTCCTGTGTGATCTGGGGCTTGTATTTGATGAGGTTGATGAGCATTCTGGAAGGAAAGCAGAGGAAGCACATGGCTTATGGTGCATTTCTCCAACCCTAGTCGTGCGAAGTCCCTCTGTTACTGCCCACCTCCTTTCTACAGCTTTTTCATTTTTATCCCCCCCCCAGATAGGTATTTGCAGTAGGGAGCAAAGACATGCTCAGCTCCCCTGGGAAATAAAATATCTGTGTGAGGTTTTAGTATTGGTCCACCCCAGAAAAGCTGTGGCTGCCCCATCCCTTGCAGTGTTCAAAGCCAGGCTGGGTAGAGCTTGGAGCAACCTGGTCTAGTAGAAGGTGTTGGAGTTGGAACTGGATGAGCTTTAAGGTCCCTTCCAACCCAAACGAGTCTGTGATTCTATCATTACCCATGAACTATGTGTGCAGGTGTTGTCTGTGTTGTACAGCACGCCACAGGGTCCAGGAAGTTTGGGCTCACCCCAGCACAAGTTAATGGCCGGGGTAAGAATAAGAAACAGGAGGGTAACAGACTAGAAGAGGCACGCCTTACTCTTGCTTCTTCTGCTGTAACTTCTCCTCCTCAGTTGTACACAAGTCTTCATGGAAAGTGAACAGCCCTGGAGTCAGTGATAAGGGCACATAATGCTCATCCATTTCCAGTTTCCCTATGCAGGGTCTCCTGAGAGCATAGGAGCTGCTGCAGCAGTGGCACACGCCTGGGTTTATAGGGTCTCTCAGGTGTCTTCTGCATATTTCTCCAAGTACAAGATCCAGCTTTACCAAGAGAAGTGGGAAAAAAAAATTACATTTTTTATGGTCAAAAATACACACTGCTCTTGAAGTAATAAAGAATAACAGAGAGCTTAAATTAAACTTCGTAATGTAGGTGGCAGCTTATTTTTGACTGAATGCTGGCTTTTGTCAGTGCAGTAATTTTTCAGAAGTATGTCTCTGTGGTTCCAGGGACTGTCCTTTGAGCACAGAAACCATGTGATTTTTGTTGTGGTTTAAGCCCAGCTGGTAACTCAGAACCACATAGCCACTCACTTTCCCCCCTTTCTTCCCCCCAGCTCCCAGAGGGATGGGGAGGAGAATCTAAAGAATGTAAACCCCAATGCGTTGATATAAGAACAGCCAGTAACTAAGGTATAACACAAACCCCTACTGCTACCACCAATAGTAATAATGATAAGGGAAATAACAAAGGGGCAGAATATAAAACTAAAAGGGGAAAAGGAAAACACTAAATACAAGTGATGCACAATACAACTGCTCACCACCTGCCAGAGGATACCCAGCCCTACCTGAGCAGTGATCTGAGCCTTTTGGGGTGACTCCCTGCAGTTTCTATACTGGGCATGACGTGCTGTGGTATGGAATTGCCCTTTGACTAGTTTGGGTCAGGTGCCCTGTCTCTGCTTCCTCCCAGCTTCCCCTCCTCCTTTGGCAGAGCTTAAGACTCAGAAAGTCCTTGGTCAGAGTAAGCGCTACTTAGCAACAGAAAAAGCATCAGTGTGTTACCAGTGTTGTTCTCAGGCTGAAAGTCAAAACCACAGCATTGCACCAGCTACTAAGAAAGAGAAAAATGACTGCTACTGCTGAACTGGGGACAGATTTCTTCATAAAGCACACTTGCATGGGCTTGCTGTCTTCAGTAGGGCACCTGTGGGTCTGTGTGGCTGCTCTTGTTAAGGGGATGATGGAGAAAATGGGTGGCTGGAGGATGGACTGAAGCTTTTTTATGTAGTTCAATTCCAGCTTTAACTTCAATGAGATGGAGTTATGCTTCCTTCAGGCATGGGAGTACACCTTCAGGTCAACTCAGCAGCTCAGTCAACATTCACCTTTACTCTTGGACCCTGCTGGCAGCAGAATTTGTGACAGGGTTTCCAGAAGAAGTATGACTGAGATCCAGAGGAACAATACTCACTTTTTCCTCAGCACAAGGCAGCAGCTTGTCCAGGCTTAACTGGCAGCATTTGGAGCCAATTGTAGTCATCTGCTTGGTGAATTTGATCAGCTCTGCAGATGTCAGTTGAGGCATCTTCTTGGTGAAGCTCAGGAGGAGCCTGAAAAGGTAATTTTTCTGAAGTCAGTGATGTTGTTTCATGAGGCAGCAGTGAGCAAGCCTCTGCCTTCACATGTTCAAAGCTCCAGCCAAACCACAGGGAACACTCAGTAGTGCAACAGCAGGACTAAGCCTGGTGTGTAGAACCTCACAAGCCTGCTTTATTTGTTTGACCTCTCTCCTTTCTCTGACCAGTTTCTTACCAGGTTAAACAAATAGAATTAACAGCAGAATTGCCAGTTACGTGTTAGTGGGCCTTTTAATGGGATGGTAGCTGTGTCTTCCCCTTGTTATTTGTTTCCCTGGGAGCACAGTGAGCTTGTCTAAGGGCAAAATTGGATTTGAGTGTCTTCTTGGCACACTAGATGGGGGCAGAAGATAAGCTCAAAGAAATTTACTTGTTTTTTTCTTTTTAAGAAGTGTGCTTATTAACCACTGTGGCCAGGAAGGCCTTAAGTGAGGTAACAGGCAGAAGGAGCCCGTCAGGCTTGTTGGAAGCCTCTAATTCCAGCGTCTTTTAAAGATCAAACACACACAGGAGGGCAAAAAGCTCAGTGTCTCTCCCCAGAGCAGGCCAGCTGAAGCCTAACTCTATGCAAGCAGCTTAAAGGTTTCATTAAGATTGTGTACATTTGGTAGGCATGTGCTTGTTAACATGCAAATCAGACCCAAAGTTCCTGCAGGAGGCTTGTGCCTGCATGTTGTGTTTGAGCACAATGTATAGTTCAGCTACTTTAGGTTTGCTCTGCCTACTGTAGTTAGAGTAATGCAAGCATGTAAAAAAGTCTTACTCGTTTTGGAAATAGTAATCTCCTTTCTCCCTGTAAATGTCACAGCTCGTCTTCATCACACTTTCAGTTTCATAAATATGTTTCTTCAGTTTCTCCTCCTGAAAAACATAAGTTGAGTTGTTGTAACAGGGGGAATGAAGAATTCCCCACTCCCTCCAGGTAAGGCCTGGATTATCTGTAACTACTTCTTACCTGCTATATGCAACCCATTTTTAATTCCATAGAAAGCCTTTGTCTGTCTGAAACCTCTATAGACTGCCTGAATGTGATGCATGTCCTCCTTCAACCACCTTGAAATATTTAATGTTGTAGGACTGATGGAAGTCTGGGTCTGAGGTACAGGGCACCTCCTAGCTTAAGAGGTTTACAATGCCCATGCCCATGTTTTGGTCTGTGACAGTAACTGTAAGTGCTTTTTATGTTTGGAAGAGGGCAACTAGCACTGTTGGAGCAGAAACCTTAGCTCTAAGCCTTTTCCTAGCATCTCTGTCTATCCATGTGGAATTACTTCACAAGTGTTGATTGCAAAGGCTCTGTTGATGCTTTTTCCATAGTAAGGCCTTGTAACACGTGCTGGTTTGTCATAGCAGCTGTGGCTCAAGGCCTGGAGCAGGCCAGTCATGTGGTCATATATATGTTTGAATTGATCAGTATGCAGTGTGCAGGCTGACAGCACCCACCCCTCTGCTGCAGCAGTCCTCTGGAGCTCCAGGCTTGCAGCACTCGTGCAGTAGGTCCTCATATCCTTTACCAATTCTTAAAAGCATTTGGGCAGAAAACTCAGGGTGCCTCCTGGAATATTCGTACAGAAACCTGCAATATGTGGAGTACCAGGTATTAGAGATGAGCCAAAAGAGCTGCCTAATGATTGTGAAATAATTTGCAGTACCAGACTCAGTTCTCAGCAGGCAATGAAAAGATGAGCTCTGCTGCAGCAGTTGCTCTACACAGCAGTTTGAACCCAATAAATTTTCATAACTGGACCTGATGTATGTTATTTGAAGTGAATTCTCTGTCTTTGGGACTTGATGCTGTCTGTGTCTGTTGCAGCATGGAGCATTTGTGCCTATGTTTACTACAGGTAGGAACAGGGCTTCACTGCACAAAGGGACATGTCTAGAACAGAAACCAACTAATCCCATTTGAACTGAGGCATGAGTCTGATTTAGGTGTTTTGAATTCAACACTGAAGAGTGTATCAAAGCTGTAGCTGGCACCTGAAATCAGAACTGACAGCTCCTAAATTTTACGGCATTTCTTCAGTTTTGCCTCTGAAATAACTGTTGTGCTCTGTTCCAAATTTGCAGAATGCATTTGCTCTGCATTCACACCTTCTAGGAGTGAGTGGTGGTTTACTAAGATCAACTTGCCCAGTATATCAAGCCTACATGCTCCCAGAGCAGCCAAATCTGAGGCTGATGAGCTGGACTTTTATGCCCAAGGTGTCATCTTGCAGCCCAAGTATTGAAACAAGAAAATAGAAAAGCTGAGGCAGACTGAAGTTACCTGGCTAAGTGTGTGTCCTTTTCCTGGGCAAAACGTTCACATATTCCCTTGTCCTCTATAAACTCCCTGACGTGGGGGGACAGGTCTGCAGGTTTGTCATTATTTTCTGTATTAACTATGCATTCACTTCTTTGTAACAGAGGCTTTTCACAGCACTGCTTTATTTTGCTTGATAGGATGTCTTGGTTGGTGCAGACGTAGCGCAAAAGCTCTTCCTGTAAAGCAGAAAAGGAATGAAGGAAGTTTTGCCAGATTTTGGTCTTTGTAGGGTTTTTTGATCAGTGTTTTTATCTGCATTTTCCAGATGGAGGGGGTGACTCCCAAAGAGAAGAAGTGCCTGATCAAGGCTGTGCCACGCAACTCTGGTACAACAGGGAAGAAAACTCAAGCCCTGTTGATTTATTTGTGCAGCCCCTTGCTTGCTGTGCAAAAGGTGCTCCTGGATTAAAAAGTCAAATGGGAAAATCAAGCAGGTTTTTAGACTGCAGAGTTAATCTCCAGTTTCAGAGAGCAATCAGTGAAGCACAGGAGGAAGAAAAATCTGAAACCAACACAAAAATAGCATTACATTTCAGCAAACACTCAAATGAGGTTTACCCTATCATGCATGCAGTCCAGCATGTCTCCGCGGCAGCAGTCCTTGTGCATGTTAGTAACATCCATCACAAGTTTGCTAACAGTAACAAAATCAGCTTTAGGGAATTTTTGGCTTATCTGAGCAAGTTTCCTATAACAAAGAAAAACAGTTATTGTTTTGAATCACTGTGTGAGGCTGTGATAGCTCCTCTCATTTTATTGTGCAGGGGATATCCAAACGGCTCAGGAATGGTCTCTTCCCTTCTCAAATTAATAAATGTTCCTTGAAGGCAAGAGCTGAGGTTGTCAGAGTTATCTAAGGACCCCAGGCGACTTTCACTGTGAGATGGTGGAAGGAAATGTGGTAGGTGGGGCAAAAAATCACAGAAGCAGCCTTGTGTCAAAACTAGGTAAGAGAGATGAGTTGTATTTTGCTCACAATCGCTCCAGAGAACTGTGTTCCTTTCAGACTTTGGGTTTAGATTTTGAAAGGTAATGGCAGTTTTTAAGGAAACAATGAGAACTGTCATGCTTAAATTTGTATTTCTAATCTGTCTTCCTTGTTAGATGCTGCTATTGACCTGCATATGACAAGGACACCACTGGCATTTGAGTCACTGTGCTGTATGCAGGTGTGGAGCTGCTCATAGCTAACACACAACATCCATGCTTCGTTTCAAAATAAGATGGACATGGGCAACACTCACAGAGCCTTCAAGGTCCTTTCTCCAAACTTGTGCAAGATTCCACATGTGTGTTCTTGCCTTAGGCCATCTTCTTTTATTGGCTTCACCACCTTTGGTGCCTGGTAGAAAGAAGATGCAGACTGTGAAAGAGGATAAAAAGACAAGACAATGCTTTACACTCAAACTACTGCTGTGATTGTTTTTTAATCAAGGAGCTTTTAATACTGAAAGAAAAATGCTGTCCAGGCTGCAGTATGAACTCCTGTGCTCGCTAGTTAGTTGCTGGCATTTATTAAGCAAGTGTTCCATGCTCCTCATCCTTGTCTTCCACCGTGACAGGTAGTGTACTCTGAATTTCTGACATGGGTTATGTGTGGGGCATGTCTCATGTGTGGGGCATGTCTCTGCAGTGCAGGTATCCAGACAAGCAGGAGCTGTATCATGGTGCTATCAGCAGGGAAACAAATCAGGCTTTTGCATGCCGTGTAGCACCTCGTCCTCTCTGAGCAGAGCTGGGAGGACAGTGATGCTGTCACAGGGCATGGGGATTGCCTTGGGCTCTCACTGTGAAACTTCAGCTGCCCAACACCCCACATTCAGGCATTTTCATTTAGGAGTTCAAGCTATAATTCAGGAGAGCACCTGAGTCTGATTTCAGCTTGTCCTCAATTCAGAAGCTGAATTCTAATATCTGGTTGAGATTATGGGAAGAGGGATGTGGACCTGCTTAAGAGGGATGTGGACCTGCTTGAGTGAGTCCAAAGGAGGTCACAAAGCTGTTCCAAGGGTTGGAGCACCTCTGCTCTGGAGACAGGCTAAGGGAGCTGGGCTTATTCAGCCTGGAGAAGAGAAGGCTCCAGGGAGACCTTATAACAGTATTCCAATAACTAATGGGGCCTCCAGGAAATCTGGAGAAGGACTTTTTACAAGGGCGTGTAGGCAAAGAACAAGGAGGGATGGCTTTAACCTGATAGAGGGTTGATTTAGATGAGCTCTTAGGAAGAAGTTCTTCCTAAGAACTCACCTGTGAGTGTGGGAGGCCCTGGCACAGGTTGCCCACAGAAGCTGTGGCTGCTCCATCCCTGGCAGTGTTCAAGGCCAGGTTGGACGGGGCTTGAAGCAACTTGGTCTAGTGGAAGGTGTCCCTGCCCATGGCAGGAGGTTGGAACTGGATGAGCTTTAAGGTCCCTTTTAACACAAACCATTCTATTCTTCTATGATTCTCTGAAGAAGTGGCTGCTATCTGTAGCCTGTGATGGAATACCTGTCTCTGAAAGCATTCCTCCAGGTTATAAGTGAGGTCTTCAGAGCTTCTGCAGCAGTTTTTCATCATCTCATCATACCGGATAGCGACAGAAAGGATGGTGGGGGCATAGAGGAAGGGATGTCTTCTGGCTACCTCAAAAATAAAACTGAAACACGGGGAAAAATATTTTCCCAGTAAGCCCCCACATGCAGGAGCAGCAGTGGTATAGCTGCCTCTGCAGGAAATTAAAATGGTAGCTGCTAAAACTGATTGTTTTACTGTCATAACAACAAGCCACATAGCCTGGTGTTTATCTTGGAAACTGCTGATGGTGTGGCCAGTTTCCTGGAAATCTCAAGTCCTGCCAGTTCTGGTTCAGAAGCAGCACAGCTTCTGCTTGGCTTTTAAGGACTAAACAGAGGTTCCTGGTTTCAGATGAGGCCTTTACATGCGCTACAATAAACCAGGGCAGATTGTTTGACATATAGACCTGTATCCAAAGCAGGAGATGGCAGAACAGGCTTTGCAGAATGACCATTACGGCTGGATGAATTATGCAAATAATTCACATTAGGAAGAAGAACTAGCACAGGATTACAGAGTATCTTAGATGGAACTTGACAGCTGCATTGAAAACTGTATTTGCTGTCTGCAGGTTCATAACTGTCTTATCTAGGCAATGAATTTATGACTTACTGTTCTGTTAACAGATGTTGATTCTGTGAATGATTTTTACAGGCGGCTTCTGCATTTGGCCTTTCAAAAGGAGAAATGAACCCTCTTGATGAATTTTTAAGAACGAGGAAGCAGTCATTTCTTTCAGGATCTTTTTTAGCACAGCAGTCAGTAAAGCCGGGAAGATTTTCCTCCTGGCATACTGTATCAAGGAAGATCTTGTCCTATGAAAATTAGGAGAAAGTTAATTTGAGTGAGGATTCCATTTAACTCCTCTGAGCTTTGCAAGGAGGCTACTTCAAGCCAACAAGCCCCAACTTGCATAAACTGTTTCTTAATTCTTTCCTGCTTTAACCGCAGTAAAAATCAGACTGACCTCTAAAACCTGGGTGATGATTTCTTGAACTTTGGTACCTACTGTTATGCCAAGACATGCTTCCAAATGGAATGGTTGTCAAACACTCTGACCTTATAACATTATTCAGACTCTTTTTCTTTATTGCACCAGCCATAAAGGCACATCTTTCTGAATATCTTTTAGTGAAATGCAGGTCACGGCTGCAGGTACTGTGCTATTCAGGATTTAGGGAGGAGAGGCGCTTTGTTTTCCTCCACTGATTTTGAGACACTTTGTAGATGGGAGCCTGGAGAACCAAAGTGTCAGTTAAGGCCAAACACATATACTCAGGAAAGTCTCCTAACACGCCTCTCTGAGAATACACACATCAGGGCTCTGACATGACAAGTCACTTCTGAAAACAGTTGCCAGATTATGAGGGTAAATGTGCTTACCAAGGGCTTCAGGCAGTCTGGGTTGTCCCTGGCTGCAGTAGCAGCACACCTTTTTGCGAGGTCTGTGAGGTCCTCAGCCATTTTAACTGCTCTGCCAAATGTGCCTCCTTGCACATACTGAGCAACCATGACCAGGGCCCTAGGAGAAGAACACACAGCATTAAACCTGTTGCTGGCTACCTAAGAAACTAATTCTGTAACTTTTAAATGTAAGACAGTAAGAGGATTCTTGTCACTGGGGCTGAGTTGGCATGAACGCGTTCTGGGCTGGCAGAAGTGGTGAGCATTTGACTTGCTGTCTGTGCTCATTCCAAACAATGCAAGGCTGTGCAGTGGCAGCTAATTTGCAAGTAGAAGCTTTATCTGGATGACTTACATGGCTTTAAAATTATTCTTCTGTAGCTGTAGAAAGCGTTGGCCAATGCTGTTTTTTCCCTCTGAAAAACAAGAGTATTTGAGTAAAAAATATTTGCTCAATACCGCATCAAATACCTTCTCTTTTTTTGGTATTGGACACTAAGAGAAAGATAATTCAGTGCCTGGGGTAGTAGAAGTGGGAACACCAAGGCCTGAGATGTAATTTCCCATCTGACTTAAGTGCAAGGATGTGAAACTATTCGTTTCTGACCTACAATATATTAGGGCCAATATAATTTCCCTGCCTAGCATAAGTGTTGTGGGGAGGAACACACTAAAACCTGGGGGTGTTCAGCTACTTTGATGCTGCACATGATTAAAGAAGCACCTTAAAAACACCTTTGAACCTTGCCTTAGCTATCTTAAAGTGCACTTGACCACTCTAGCTACTGATGAAGGATTTTCTGTGCAGAAAATGTGATAAAATAAGGACTACAATGGCATGCAAAGCTCCTCCACAATCCACAGAGCTGCATTCTTCTGTTTGTGCTATGAACTGGCTCAGAGGAAAGTATGTGTCCCATGTATGTGAAAATCCTGTGCAAATATTCTTCCTTTGCCACTGCACCTTTATTAATGGGCAAAGCTGAATGTCATGATTTATCCAGGTCCTTGTTTGTTTGAGAATACGCATAAATTAATTTTAAAGTAAGGGGCCTGCTCCCAAATCAAGTGTTACTGTTTCACCCTCGCATCAGTAGGGCTGAGATCACTGTAAAAAGATCAAACAAATCAAAGAAATAAGCCAGCTTATCCCTCTGAGTAACACCAGGGTGTCAACTGTGACGAAAACATGAGACAACACAAACATCAGGTCTGTGGTACTCTGTCGGGAGAAAAAAGAGCTAACTAATGAAGACAATATGCAATGGGAAAGAAGCATCTTATTTTAGGCCCCATTTTTAGGCCTTAGTGAGAAATTTGGTCATTGTAAGCTCTCTCAGGAGTCAATGAAGGAGAGTAAGACCCCTCCAAAGGAAAACACAGAGCAACACCATAACTTAGCTACTCTGAACAGCCACCAGAGATGGAGGTAGCATCCCTCTTGGGCCTCCTCTGTCTCACTTCCTGATGCACTGCAGAGGGAGCCCAGAAAGCCACAGGCTTCATTTCAACAGGTTTTGGAGTACCTAAAACCAGTGGTACAACCACATTCCTGTGGATGGAATTCCCCTTCAACAGGCTTCCTCTCAGTAACCACTGGCTGTCCTGCACACTAAATAGATTCTCAGGCCTTTAAGAAGCCACACATCTGAGGTTGATCACCAGTAAGTTATACAGATTGAGGATCGTTGTATACCTTTGACCCATAGAAAACACCAGCATAGAACTGGCAGAGGCAAAGCAAGATACCAAATAACCATGTGTGAGAAGCTGCAGCCATCAGTATTATACAAAAAGACAGAGTAAAAACATAAGATACATTCTTACCTATGTCCCGATTACTGCCAGGCAGGGCTTTGACTATGGGTAGGCTCACCAGTAAAATCACATAAATTACTCTTCTGCAGTTCATCTTGTCAGATTTTGGCAGGGGCTTGGGGTAAGCTTGGTTCATCTTGGTAAGGCAGAAAGAAGGAATGGGAAACAGTTACTTTTATACTCTCCTAAACGATTTCTGGTTAATCAAAACCTTTTTACTGTCACGTATAACATTAGCCAGTTTGGAATATTCTCACAATATTTAGACATCTCATTATTTGCTCAGGGGGATGAATCCACCAGCTTGATGCAAAGGATGGACCTTGGGGATTCCTTCCCCCCCCCCCCTTAAGATTTAGACAAATACACATTTTTAACTTATCAGACTTCAAACAAGAAGTTTAAACACTTCTTGGGCTTTTTACTGTGCACGTAGATCTCATCTACTTGCAAATTTGTTCAAAGGTGATTGCTGCAAAGAAGATGTCTCTGTAACACACTGTTGATGGAAAAACCCCAAATTCAGCTTTTAATCCCTCCTTGCTGCACAAGCTGTCTCTTGCTCCAAGATGTCATGGTCAAAAGGCTGAATTAAGTATCCCCTTACAAGATTTTTGCAGCATCAAAAAGCCTCCAAATTTTGAAACAAAAATCAACTCTCAAACTGTAAAATGAAGGGAATAATTCCACTTCATACAGTTATTTTACTTACTTTTCGAATAGTATGCATGACAAAAATAAATTTTTGAAGACAGAATGGCTTTAGGAAGCCCCAGGTAGGGGTAACACAGTGATAGGTGGGCAAGGATATGTGTATTCAGTCTGAAGGAAGGGGCAAAGACAGATCTTTCATTTGTTTCCAGAGAAAATGGCGATAGCTGCTTGTTCTGTTCTGCTGGAAGAGCATGAGAGTTGCTTGCCATCACATGAGATGGTATCAAATGGAAAAGGATTCTGGGCAAGAAGATGGGAGCATGGTCACAGGACCAGACCTGAAATCTAAGGGGGAAACCATATCCATTGAGGATGACATACTGCTCATGAAGGCTTTATCCATAACTTAGCTCTGTCTTTGTGGGACTGGGCCTGTCACTGCTTGTGTTTAGTAGAGTTGCTCTTAGGATGGGGGTGGAAGATCTTCTGCCCTATCTGCACAACCTTCTGCTTTTATTTTGAAATAAGGAATAATTCCTTGTTTTGAAGAACAAGAACTTGTAATGAATAGATTTAAAAATAAAAGATTGGAAGTATTGTTTTATATGCCAAAAAAAAAAAAAAAAAGCAGCAAAACCAAGACTGGTTCATTTTTGCGGGTTTGCTTTGTTTAGTTTTCATTGAAAACTCTGCCTGCTTTCCTCCTCGTCTTCCAGCAATTGCTTTGTGGTTGTATACATGGAATTTTCCACTGGAAGCCAAAACCATTTCAGATTTCCATGTTATTCAGTTAGTTAATGGCAGATTCCCTAAGAAAACTCACTTTCATAGAGCATATTTGAGTCTCTCCTGCTCAAAATACTTAGCTCAAAAATTAAGAACAGTCCTCTGCGCTCTTTGAATCCTATTCACACACCCTAGTGCTCTTGAACTGGGAATATACTCAGCTCCTCTTGCTAAATTATGCTGAGTTTACACATAGCACGGCAGTATGGGCTCAATCCAGCCAAATTCACCTGGGAGCCTCTGGCTGGAGTGCTGCAATGTGAGGCTTACAGAAACAGATCAGTTTTGTATTTAGCTTTTAGGATCTACTTAGAAGCTCAGTGAAGAGAGTGAAAGGTTTTGCCTTAAAATGACCTCTGACAGTATTGGCACTTGTTGCTGAATCTGTGCCTCAGAATTGAAGGTGTGGCTTCGGATTATATAAAACTCTATTACCTGTATACTCAGCACATCTTTTCCAGCATAATAGCCTGGAGGCAACACAAGGAGGAAATCCAAGTTCTTCACTTCATTGCTGCAATTGATTTAACAGTATTTGGCTATGCTGGGAAATCTGATGGCAAGAATTACTCTTTTCAGCCTCTGCAAATGTCTAATTCTACCAAAATCCTTTATAAACTTCAGTTTGACCTGGAGATGATGTCCTCAGTGGGTGTATTTTGCCAAAAGTGCAGTCTTTTTTGACTATATATGTAATCTGGACACTGATATTTTTAAAGGGCTTTGTAAATTCATGGATTATCTATTATGGACTATTGTTAGTAATACAAAAGAATGATTTGTTTCATGGAAAAAACAGGCAGGTTTTGATGTGGTGTTAAAGTATACTCATAGTCCAGCCATGCCTCTTTGCTGACCATGTTGAGATGATGGATGTGGTGTAACACAAACCATAATTTGTGTAGCTAAAAGGATCCTGTTCAAATTCTTTTAACTTGAAGGAAATAAAAGACTGATGTATGATGTCTGGCTTCTCTCTTTCTTTTTAGAAAGGCATTTTGCTCAGCCCCTTAGTCTGATCTGAACTGAACTTTTCCTTGACCTCTTGTCTGGGGGAGTGTTCACCATGTGGGTGCATAAGCATTTTGGCACAGGAGATAGGATAACTTCTTGCAGTACAGGTGGGAGCATGGCCGAGCCATGCACACCTACTTGCTGCTCTAAATTGGCAACCAAGCCCTGTCCTTTGGTTCCTTTGACTCACTTGGCTGGGAATGAAACAACTTTCCTCATGGGTTTTCTGGCAGTGGCTTTCTCTCTCCCATTGGTCTCTGGGCCTGCAAGGACACATTTGCTGTGTGGCTTGTGTCAGTGCACATGGATGGGAAGTGCTCTGGGTACTTTGCGTGGTCTCAGTGTTGGCAGTAAGCTGACAAGTGTCCTGGGAAGACTTATCTGTGTACGTGTTTGTAGGTTAGGGTTCCATCTCGAGTGTAATTTGATCGTCTCTGTAGTATGACATAGTTGTACCCTGTGAGTTGTACTGCCCAGATTTCCACCCTGCCCTGCTCCTCTGTTTCCACATAATTCCAGGACAGTGTCAAAAGCAAAATACACTTCTATACAGTGAGGAAGAAACCTTCTAGTAACTCTAGGAGCTATTGCTTGCCTCAGAGGCAAGCTCTTATATAGCAAACACCTTTGGTAATAAAAAAAAGAGAACACAACGTAATTATAGAATGGTTTATATTGGAAGGGACCTTAAAGGTCCTCTAGTTCCAAACCTCTGCCATGGGCATGGGACACTTTCCACTAGATGAGGTCACTCAAGGCCCTATCTAACCTGGGCTTGAACACTTCTAGGGATGAAGAGATGATAATGAAATGGTTTAATTGGATATGAACTTTTTCTGCCTTAGGTGAGGATCATTTCCAGGAGAGACTCTTCCACTTTGTTTTACATGCAATGAATGTCCTTCCAGAAGTCCTGGAAGTAGTTGTTGTGCCCTAAGTGAGACAAAAGATGTAATCATTGACCTTGGGTGGTCCCTGGGTACTGGGATGGGTACCTGCAGCCTAGTACTTAGCGTGAAAGCTTTAAAGGAGTGATGTTTTGTAGATGCTGCTGCATCTATGTTAGTTATCAACACAATATTCCCCTTATTGGCATGCAAAGTCTATATGCCAGCTAATTGTGAGAGCATAAGACGAACCTACAACATCTGGACTGATCCTCAAGCTAAAATCCTTGGTCCCTGACTCACCCTTCCCTTAACTTCTTAAGCAAAACACTCCTACTTTTATCTATGTTCCAAATCCTACCCTGGGTTGATTGCAACTGAGCTGGACACCACAGAGTACAAAGGGTGACATTTACAACTTGTCCTTGTCTTTATCTGACACCTGCAGGCATGATGGTCTAGGCAAGTGAAACACCATTGCTGAATGTCAAAACAAGTTAACGTAATACAATACAGTCACAGTTATCTTGACACAGGGCAAATTCTGATTGCGGTGACCTGCTGACACAGTGCTTTTGAGTAAGGCAGAGAACTTGGGATACTTGCCCACAGGTAAGGAAGGAAAATGCATGTCCTTCTGTGAAGGCCCCATTGAACTCCTTGCAGCTGCTTTCTGAAAGGCACTGCTTCCAAGACATTGAGTCTTTGGACTCAATGGCTCACTCTAGGTCTAGTAGAGTTTTAGCTTTTAGAGTGAAAATTCTCCCTAGACTCTTGTAGTCTGGCATGCCTTGTCCAGGATTTCTGTTCTTGCAGAGTCATCCTTGGTTGGGTCAGGTATTTTAACACTGGAGTTCTACTAAGATGATTTCATTTGCAGCTTACCCCTCAGGTGTAACTCTGATGGTGGCCCCACAGAGCAGAGACAGCTGTCAAGTCCAAATTGAAGTCCTTTTGAAGCCATCCTGCCTGGTATTTCATATCCTTTTTTGAAAGGGATGGGGATATCCCTTGGTTCAAGTCCACACAGTGGCTCTTTGTGCCTTGCACTTGCAAGCTCTTCTTTTCTCCACCATGTATCTGTAGAGGTCTGTTTGAGACACTTTCTACCATCAAGGACCCCGTCTCTCAGTGGAATTTTACACTTCCTCAACAGGCCACCACTGCAGGGGGTCACTGGCTCTTATCCCATCTTTATCTCTGCCTGACAACTTTTAGGTTGTTCATGTAATAGGTAAGGTGATGTTTGAAGGTGATCTTTGAACAGCAGTTTGTGAAGCTGCTGTTATGTGCAGTGCTTTAGAAACCATTTCCTAGCATGTCTCTACTTTAGGCTATCAGGTTTGCAAGCTATAAGAAGACTAAAAACATTTTTTGTCTGAGCGGCAAAGAGCCACCAAAGGAACCTCAAGTCCTCGTCAAGACTCGCCTGGAAAACAGCAGTGCTGCTGACTCAGCAGCTGGCTTATGGAGGGTCAGCACCACTCCCGAATGGGTAAAACACTGCCCTCCAGAGCATGGCAAACAGAGCGGGCAAGCAGAGCATGGCTGTGGCAGTCAGAGTGGTGGCTGGCATGGGCAGGCGAGCAGCCAGGCGAGCCTGTCAGTGATGTTAGATGGTAGCTGTATTAGATGTCAGCAAGTTGACAATGTGCTCTGCATGGTGGCAGAGGTACAGGAAGAGGTGGAATGGCCAAAGAGCATAAGGGAATTCGAGGAGGAGATTGCCTGGTAGAACCGCACTCTGCCATTCCTGGGAGTATCAAGCCAGCCACCCAAAACAGAAGGGCATCAG